AAGGAAGCTGGTTGGTTGGTCCTACTTCTCTAGACAAAGTGATGAAAGAAAGAGATGAGCTCAGGGCTTCAGAGTCAAAGCTCAAGCGCTGCGTAAACGGCCTAGAAATTTCCACTTGTGCCTTGAAAGAAAGCTTTATTTCTTCTGGTAACGGAGCTGATATTGCTGAAAACCAAACCTAGAGTCTTGTCATAAAAGTGGCTGAATTATAATGCCAACTGAATCCCCAACCTCGAGTGGTGTCTGAAGTTAAAGTGAGGGCATTGATTAGGTAGAAAGGGGATCCTGAAACTTGGGATGGGGATATGTGGGCAGATAATCAGGTAGCTGGGGACACTGAGCCCTTAAACTCTGTTGAATCACTTCTGCCAACAGAACCAGCCCTCTCACTCCAATCCAAAGAGACTACTCCATCTTTGTCTGCTAAATCACCCTCCCTAGTAAAACCATTAGCCCCTCCACCCACGTCTGATGAGATTTACCCAGCTGGGTCTGAACAGCCTTTGTCTGAGTCATTGCCTGGGACAGCATGTGAGGCAGATGCCTTGCAAGACAATGCTGCATATTCTCAAAACACACGCCCACCACCCATTTTGGCTTCTAGACTTATGACTAGACTTAAGTCCCAGGGAGCCCCAAAAGGTGAAGTACAAAGTGTGACCCAGGAGGAAGTACGCTACACTCCGAAAGAACTGCTTGACTTTTCTAATACGTACAAACAGAAACTTGAGGGATATGTATGGGAATGGCTAGTAAGGGTGTGGGTTAATGGTGCAAGGAACATAAAGATGGATCAGTCTGAGTTTATTGATATGGGTCCACTAAGCACAGATTCTTCATTCAATGCTTCAGCTTGAGAGGTTAGGAAAGAATCCAATAGTTTATTTGGTTGAGTGACTGAAGCATGGATTACACAGTGGCCTACATTAAATCAAGCTGAAGTACCAGACCTGCCTTGGTATACTGTAGAAGAAGGTATCCAAAGGCTTAGGGAAATTGGCATGCTAGAGCGGATTTATCAAGTTAGACCCACAGACCCACACATGCAGTGCCCAGAGGACACACCTTTTACCACAACTGTGAGGAACAAATTTGTGAAGGGAGCTGCAGCATCCTTGAAGACTGCTGTGATTACTATTTTACATAAGTCAGATTTGACAGTGGGAACTGCCCTAACAGAATCAAGACACCTAACTACAACAGGGCTGATTGGACCTCGTGGTAGTAGGGCCAAGTGGCGGCACTCAGTTGACAAAGACAAGGTGGGCGTGATTACTGTAATGGACAGTGGAGTCAAAGCAGTAATCAGAATAGTCTGGCTTGTATGGACTTACGGCGTTGGCTACTTAGTCATGGGGTCCCTAGGATTGAAGTAGATAGGAAATCTACTAAATATTTACTTGATCTTTACAAGCAGAAGAATTTTAGGTCAAGTGAACAGCAGTCTAACTCAAATCATCAGAATAGAGGGTCATGACCCTTCAATCAATTCCCAGATTTGAGCTAGTTTACGGACCCACAACCCCTTGAATGAAGGGGAGGCCAGGTCCCCTTGAGGAAGGACTCCACTACACTACCAAAAGCTTATACTGTTAATCTTTCTCCCAGCCTTCCTACGGCTTTTTACGAGAGTGACTGTTCATTGGGGAAAAGGAAATAATCAAACTTTCCGGGGATTACCGGATACTGGCTCTGAACTGACGCTAATTCCAGGAGACCCAAAACGTCACTGTGGCCCACCAGTCAGAGTGGGGGCTTATGGAGGTCAGGTTGTTAATGGAGTCTTAGCTCATTTCCATCTCACAGTGGGTCCAGTGGGTCCCTGAACCCATCCTGTAGTGCTTTCCCCAGTTCCAGAATGCATATGGAATAGATACACTCAGTAACTAGTAGAACTCCCACACTGGATCTCCGACAAGTGGAGTACGGGCTATTATGGTAGGAAAAGCCATGTGGAAGCCATTAGAACTGCCCCTACCTAGGAAGATAGGAAACCAAAAGCAATACTGCGTTCCTGGAGAGATTGCAGAGCTTACTGCCACCATCAAGGAATTGATGGATGCAGGGGTGGTGATTCCCACCACTTTCCCATTCAGCTCACCTATTTGGCCTGTGCAAAAAACAGATGGATCTCGGAGAATGACAGTCGATTAGAGGGTAATTCTAAATACCAGTTGTGACCATGTGACCAGTTGCAGAAATGAAGACTGTAATTGTTATGAGTATTTCTTTCTGTATGTATGCATCAAATATTTTGGTTTTCTTCGCTTATAAAATATAAGCTGTAAACAGGGCTAGTGCATTTTCGGTCGTACTTGTGTTAATTGTGTCATGTTAGGCACCAGTATGACTTTATAATCATCTTTATTCAGAGATTATGTATGATTTAAGGAGATGTGTACAGGTGCCAAGCTGACAAAGGGTGGACTGTGATCATTAAGGTCTGGATTCTCAGTGGTTGGCAGTTATGATGAAGTTTGGCAGTCGTATAATGAGGTAATCACTTCCATGATGAGATCTGATATAATGTGATCACATCATTGATGGGATTTGCTGTGAGTAGCTAATCAGTTGAAGGGGAGTTTCCTTGGGAGTATGGCCTGCATCCAATATATGTGGATTTTCTGGCAAGCTCTTGCTCACTCTGGATCCTGCGGCTGGCTCCTGTTCATCTTACCTCTGGTTCTTGGGACTTGAGCTAGCAGCTTACCTGCCGTCTTGCCTGCCGATCTTGAGATTCATCAGTCTCTGCAGCCTGTGAGCAAGAGGCCTGCTGTCTGACCTGCTGATCTTGGGTTCACCAGCACCTGCAGCTACGTGAGTCAGGAGAAGCCGCCAGCCTGATCCATGGGCTTGGGACTTTCCGACCTCTACACCCGCGTGAGCCATTTCCTTGATATAAATCTCTCTCTACATATATTTATACACTTTACTCGTTCTGCTTCTCTAGAGAACCCAGACTAAGCCACCTAGGTTTTCTTCTTGCCTCATGTATCCCGGACTTGGAGCTGAAGAAGCTGGAGACCCAGAAAAGCCAATGGGCACAGACCAAAAAAAAGTCCCAACCAAAGCCTGCTCTCTCTAGCCAAAGGACTTAGAAAGGAACAACTTAGCAAGACAGAAAACTTTTAGACAATAACTGATTGTTTCCTCATTTCATTTAGCCCTGTTCCCAAATGTCACCTCCTTTAAGAGGCCTTTGCCTAGCACCTTTCATTCCCGCTTTAACTCCGTTTACCCTGCTTTGTTTTAGTTCTTCTTATCACCATGTAATATATTATCACCAGGTAATATACTACATATTACACTTATTTATTTATGTTTCGGTCTCCCTCCACTGGAAATCTCCTCCATGAGGCCAGGAACTTTGTCTGTCTTGTTCACTCCTGCACCCCCAGTGCCTTCATTAGCACCTGGCACACAGTAGGTGCTCAATAAAGATCTGCCAGGTGACTGAATGAAGGCATGCCCTTGCCTTTGCTCAAGCCGTTCCTTCCACGTGGAATGCCTCCCCTTCTCCTATCTGCCTTTCCTAATCCCACCTATCCTTTAAGGCTCACCCCTAGCCCCTACTGCTCCAGGAAGTCCTCCTTGACTAGTTGGGCTCTGAGAGCCTGGAAGTTGGCCTATTCTTGCCTCTCACCTACCATGCTTCCTAATTTTGGGTGCCAGGTAAAGACTGAAAAAACAAAACCAAACCTATTGCCATCAAGTCAATTCTGACTCAAAGGCTGTAATCTTTTTTTTTTTTTTTTTTTTAATATTTTATTGTACTTCAGGTGAAGGCTTACAGAACAGATAGTTTCTCATGTAACAGTAACACACATGCTGTTTTATGACATTGGTT